ATTAATCTACCCAAGAACATAGTTTGTAGGGAACATAGTATGTTCAACACACATAGTTTGCTTTGTGCAATTTGTCTGACTGTCACGTGACCGCAGGGGGGGGGGTACTTAATTTATCATCATTGGTCACCAAGGGGGGGAGGGGGTCAAAATTGCCTCAAAATCGATCACGTGATTTATGGACGCTCCCCATGTACGTAATACGTATGTACACATGTACATATTACTCGTCGGGGCAAACTGAAAATCTATACATTTCAGCCTGCACCTTCAATCATACAAACACATAACAACAAGGCTTCATTAAGCACATACATATGTACATATCTCACATATATAAATGGGTGAAAGCCCTTGTGGAAACGAAGAAAGTTTATGTTTGGTATATTTTTTGTTGAGTTAACTATTGCAGCTGCAGACCCAGAGAAATATAATACCCGGAATTCTTTGAGCAGGGCCAAGTAGAAAGTGGGCATGGGAGAGAAATGCGGGTGGAGAAAGTGCAAGTCCATCGTGGTTGGAGAGATGTTTGGGAAGAAAGAAAGAAAGAAATTGTGCTCAGCGAGAGAGAAAGAGAGAGCGATATCGATGTTGGAAAAGGAAAGAAATAACGCCGCATTTCGGAGCAAACCAAGGCAATCGAGCTCTCTCGTCACGTCCAACAGAATCCATGGCCCAAACTCCATTCTGCTAATTTATTCATTATTCGCATCAAAATGTGTAATAATGATAGTGACATTAAGTTTGCCAGTTCTAGCCAGTTCTCCCGAAGGAGCTTTAAAAAACATCTTGCATTACCAAACCGATTCACTCTTTTTCCTTCTCTCGTCTAGTAACCCAACCCCAACAACCTCATCTCATCCACATCCACCCAGTAAGTATATCGCCAAGAGAAAGATCGACCTTTGTATCTCGTCATCTGAACGTCTGCTCCTCCGTTGGATTCACACTCACATTTACACCCTCATTGACTCTAGGTTTGGTTGAGTTTTGAGTGTTTTCCTCCTTTCCAGCTTTCCTATTATGACATACATGACTGACTAGACTGACTGAACAAGGGAATCCTGGGGACATGTAAAGCCGAGCTCCCTTTTTGTACAGGATTAAGTACAAGAGCGGAGGCAAGAAAAAGTATTTAGGCTGCTACGACGTAATCAGAAAGGAGAAAAGGGAGACAAAGGGATGGATGTCAGTTATTTATCTAAATAAACTCCCATAACTTGATGTGCTAGCTTATTGCCTCGTGCGGTAATGGAAAATTTATGTTTGGTACAATTGTAAATAAAGTAATTGGGCACGGCTCTTAGATCTCGAGGGTGATACTCACATCTTAATATGTGCTTGTAATATGTACCCAATACATCCTTGAATAAATATATCCCTCGCTCTTTTACAGAAAACTCGGCTTTTAATTACAAAATTTTCCTGATTCCTGTGGTGACGATCCTGACGATTAAGTTCTTTGAAAAGCAGTAGGAAACTTCAAAGTGAGAGTTGCGGCAATAATAATAACAATCTGGTTCGGTATTACGATTTCAGAAGGTGGTTGCATCAACAAAAAAATGCATCGCTTGAATTTGACCCTTGCTGCTTAATTTCCTGTGGGTCTGTTGGTTCGTAGGTGCACCAGATAAAATAATGTTGATGATCTTCAGCCACGATATGGTATCAACAAAGATTTAATTTATGACTTACCATCCCTAAATTACAGTGAACTTTTTTGCATGTCCGTTTGCAAATCGCAGCCGTTTAATAACAAGCTTGCTTCATATGTACAGACACATGTATGTAGTAATGTATGTAGTGTGGTAGGAGGTAGTTAAGGACATAAGTAATTGCTGTGCACCGTTTGGGAATCGCTCTTTTAAGTTGTCCTGTCCGTTCGTAGGATGGGTTGCTCCAAATGTTTTACTGAAATTAAATCGGGATTGAAGATGTAAAACGAAATTCAATACTCAGGCTTTAAAATGCTTATATGTAGATTTTCATGGTTGTGGCGTGTTTTGCAGTCAAATCAAATTAGCCCATAATTCTTTCTTGGTTAATTTTTTCTATCAACTGTCATAGGTAACATGATTCCATGTACGTACGGTGTATTTGTGCAGGGTTTTTGTACAAAAAATATATAAATTTGGGCTTGTTAAATTATGTGCTAAATTACTTTGCCAAAATATATTGATTCTCGACACTGGTGATTTTGATTGCACAATAAAAAAGGCCCCATACGATGACGATGCGGTTATATGCCCGGATCACTTCTAATTTTGCCCATGGCTGGGTCAGGTCTCCCTCCTCTCGCTTCTTACCCAACCAAATGCGAAAATTAATTTCGAAATAGGTGTGCCATTGTTTATTAATTATTGCACTTGGTGGGAGCATCAACTAATCTTCAGCGAAACAGCACAATATTTTCTGTGATTTCATTTGGTCATTCATCATCTTGTGTTACGTACGAATATCCAAAGAGATATTTAGACGATGAACATGAACCCTACCCAAAACATTAATGTTTTCGTGGTAAGGAATCATATATCTGGCTTGAGAATCATACTTCTGAATTCTTTGGCGGCTCCATCCATAACATAATCCATTTTGTTTATTTGGTGGACAGAAACGAACATTGTTATTCGAAACATTGTTATTTAGTGGTTTGTTCTACAGTTTCATTCAGGTGTAAGAATAATGAATGAGAAATGTATAATTGTTGAAACGAATTTGTAAATAAATAGTTTCTCCGGCAATTCGCTTCAGTATTTGCGTTACCAGACTTTATGTATGTAAATACGTCACAGTTCTGAAGGACAGCTAGAAAAGCCAAAGCTATCTTCAAACTTTTAAAACTGTTTGCTTTAAAGGAGCCTGTCACTCATGCCCACTTTTGTTGCTTTGTTTTAAACTAGCATGGCTACTTTGGATTAAAATACAATTTTAAACCTTGTGTATTACGATTCAAGGTTTTCGTTGCAGACATGAAAGTAAGGCAGCCTTTGAGTTGTTGCGGTTGACGCGATGCAGTAATAAACATGGAAACGGGTGCATTGGAGAAGGCTCTATTATAGTAATTATGGATGTAGTTTGGTTGTAATTTTACGTGGAGAGAGATGAATAAAAATAGAGGTAAACCTGATACAGAAAGAACCATCGTCATGTTTTAAATGCTGTGATGATGATGGTACTACTATTTACTGCGTGGATATGTTCATATCATAAACAAGTAGCCACAACAGTCACCGCCGTGGGCAACGTGGAAGATCGTGGTGGCTGAAAAATTAATGGGAAAGAGCAAGGAAGCCCATTTTTTGAGAAATTAAAAAAGAGTATTCCAGCATCGCAACCTTAAATTAACTCGACTTTCAAGGTATCAGAAACTGAAAGCAATACCAAACAAAGCTACTCGACTTTGATTATTGCTTGCATTTCAACAAGCAGTTTTTCTGAAATAAAAACAAGTTGGCATCAGCTCTTAAGCTAAAAGCATTTTTATTGTTTAAAAAAATAGTTCATTCACATTGTTAGGGACTTTATCGAGTAGAAGATCCAAGAGAAGATTTCAGTCATATTGGTAAAGCCTTGTTGATTAGCGGATGGTAAATCCTGGAGAGCAATAAATTCCGGTGAAATGGGTGGACGAGAATGGTGGGCAGAGCACATTATGGACAATTTGATAATGATCTATCCAAAGAGCAAACACTTAACACACTCGCCACCATCCAAGACGAATCTTCTTCATCATCGTCCTCTTTTTCCCCATCGTCATTGATTTCTTTGGCTTTCCTTCCACAGTACGATAGAAAATTGTGTTTTTTGCTTTGCAGTTGAAGAAACATTTTCTCTACGAAAGTGCAACAAGCAGTTACAAAAATTCTCCCTCCTGTGCAAGCTGTCTTGTTGGGGATTTGTGTGGTTTTTATTCGGTCAGTGTTAGAGGAACCCCTTTATGTACAACCCGTTCTCGTGGATATAAAAATATTTAAGGATTTCCTTGAATGATTCGACAAAGTGTGCGGTTAGTCTTAATCCCAGTCCAAGCGTTCTCCTGGAGTGGATTACAGGTTTAAGGCCAATAATTTTCAGTCTATCACAGCTACCCATGTATGAGTTATGGCTTCCTCTATCGTCACATCCTTTCACTCTCAAAACTCATCCACAAATTATCTGGCTATTACCAGTATTACCATTTTTGGAAGTAAATTGCATTTGTATCCACCAGCAGTTCAATGCTTCCTATTCAGGCGGCGATAAGTGCTTATTTCAATTCAACAGCTCCATTAAATACATTTTCCTGTACTTTCTACTATGCCCACTAAAACCTCTTTGTGTGGTTGAGAATAAGTTGTACCCTAAGATTGAGATGAGGATTCCATGAGAAACGAGTCTACTTGAGATTGCCACCAACCACAATGCATCAAATGTATCGACACAAACAGTTTAGGCACAAACACATCAATGGCCAGACCAATTTAAAGTGATCCAGATATTTATGAAAATTCAAGTTCTTGAAACTGTGCTTGAATTTGTTTATTGGTGAATATCACAGTCGTAGAAAGTACAATTTCTGTAAGGGTACAAGAAGAATGTCAAAATAAAACAGATTTCTCATAGAGCACTCATAGTTTTACGGTATTGGGTTCAAGTGTCATCGAATGTATTGACACAAATAAAAGGAAAAGTTGATCCCACTCCATCACTCTTGACAAATGTGATGCATTTGATGGAATGACAAATAGCATAATTTCATTCAAGTTGGACCTGCTTGTATATATCACTGCTAAAAATGTGCCATAGGTATGCAGGCATGTAAGTATGTATGATGTATAAGTGAGTATCTACATACCAGCCGACTCAATATTTCACAAACTTCACCCATCGTCGTTCATCTTTGGATTGAATTAAAATACTTCTGCTGATGGCCCACCCTTCAAAATATGAATATGAATTGTGAAAACAGCACCACATGATCCGAACGGAGTAACAAAGTATTTTTTGTTTGTATATTTCAGGTACCGGAATGAGGCGTTTTGCTGGCCTGAGAGGTAATAAAATACCAATAAACCCTTTCTTCCCTTTGTCTCTCCTCAGCTTTTTTGCATAACTGATACCGATATGATCCTCTGGATGCATGGTAAACTTGGCTGCAGTAATGAATGCATAACAAGTCAATACTCCTTCAGAGAGAATGGGATAAAGTGGATAATAATAAGGACGAGTTGTATGAACTGCCGGTGAGTGAGTAAGTGCCACCGACTGATGGAGAACACCGATACCTTTTGTTGGGCTGAATTGAATAATGACACTGCTGGCCTGATTCTTATTCTCTCTCACAAAACTACCACCCATTGAACCAGTGAATAGACTTGCTGGCCCTTGTAATGGTGAGTTATGGACGACTGGATGACTTTCATATTCATAAACAAACCGTAAATAAAAAACGGCTTTTTATTCATCATTTCCTTCCTTCCTTCCGATGTGGGATGGGATATGGGATCAAGGTGATGTGTGTGATGGGATGTTGAATTATTGCAGGTCTCCAGTCTCGGATCACTTACTTCTTTATCATTTTAATTTTATCGCCCTTCGATCCATTTTATCATCTGTTGCACATTTTCCTTCTCATGCATTTAGCGTTGTGTAAAAAAAGATCGCATGCAAGAAGTTAACGGAACAGAGACAAATTTGCAATTTCAATCCAACGTGGTTGTTTAAATGATGTATAGAAATTGAGATCCATTTAATAAAATGTTGCAAATAGTTGAACGAAATGTTTGATTCACAAACAATATTTGCGGCTCCGTTTTCTCACACTATCGACTTTGGCTTTAAAAAAGGTCGTAGTTTTCTGCATAAATTAAATCTTGTACTTTTTTGCAACCCACCTGAATTGGCAAATATCTGAGATGAATGGAAGAGTAGAAAGGTTTTAAAACGTTGTCGTTTGCAATACATATTTGCAAAACCAAAACTTGCCGGTTATTCAATTACGAAGATTGTGTGTGTGTGTGTGAACTTTTAAATTTGTTAGCGCTGTCTTTTCATGGCCCATGTCGTGGACAGATCATGATTTATTTATTGCACACTAAAATGATTAAAAATGTATCTCATGTGCAAGGTTCACAAGAAACGGGAGCTTTCACTTTCATCATCTTTTGATGTTTTTTTTATTCTTATGCAAATGCATGGAGAATTACATATACAACCAGAACTAGTGGAATTACGTTCAGTAGACTGGAGATGAGCAGACTCTTCTTTTTTATGTATGTGCAGTTACATTCACAAACATTGTAAATAGGTATTCTACTGCTGCTGCTGAAGAACGGGAGCTTTTTCATTCACCGTAAACTCCTCAGTTTTTATGCATCTCATTATTACGAAGCAATGTGAGAGAGTGAAGGGGTGCTTATCCTTCCCATTTGCATATTCCACGCTCTTTCTATTCTTTGTCAAGGAGGATCCCAGTGTTGGCGGCAGATCTTTATTTTTATTTACACTTTCGATCAAAGCTGCAAAAGTGCTTTTACTTCTTGGTGGCGGTGATGTGAAATCTTTGTTCGCCTCATTGTTGTAAATGCATACAGACAGATAGTGTATATTAAAATAAGATAATGAACAGATTTCAAACACACATGTACATACACACAAGCAAGCATTTGTATAGCGAATTTCAGATTTTACGTGTAAAATATGTTACAGGAAAATTTTTCCTCTGTTATTATTTGTAGATGATAATGCCAATCTGCTCACAAACACTACGTTTGTAGCTTAGGATTAGAGTAGTAGTAGATTAGGGTTCAGAGGTGAGGGTATAAATTACTCTTGTGAAATTATATTATATTTTTTTACGTACACGAATTTCTGGGAATCAAAATGAGCTGCGAAATTAAAACAAGTTGGAGAACACAAGATGAAAAGACGGCTGGAGAATAATTATGGGAGAGGGATTTGTGGTTCCCTTTGATTCATTACAGGATGCAGTCTTGAGTGAAAGGAGTTTGTAAATTAGACACATCTTAAAATCTTGTTAAATCCAGGTGTTACTACCACTTGATTATACTCCTCGGCGTGCAATACTCGGCGAGGGTGAGGTTTTGAGGCAATAGTTGTTTGCTTGCAAGTAGATGAGGATCTATGGATCACAGCGTTCTTTTCTTTGAAGCACTGCCACCACCTCATTATTTATTTACAACTGATGCCACTTTTTCTTACTCCGCTCTGTCATTAGCTGACTGCAGCACAAACACGGTGATATTTTGTAGACATACGTGAGTAGTCGATTGTGGAAATTACAGGAGATTTTGCTCAACGTTTATTAGCTACTTTGGGTGTCGGCAGTGCATATGCATGCATATTTATGTATGTGGGCAACGCATTCCTGGGATTCGCCATCAGACTTTGCGGAGGATATGGCGCACACATCCCACAACATGCAATTAAAAATTATTGTTTGTATGTCGAAACAGTACTAATTCAATCAAGTTCGCTCGAAGCCCATCTGAAACTGGTCACCAAGGAAGGAGAGAGAGAGAGAGAGAGATGCGTTGATGGATGTGAATTTCAAACATGTTTTATGGTCAGAGCGAAACGTCTTCACCATTTACTTGCCCAGCACTCGCTATGCAGGAATGTTGGAAAACTGATTGGGAGGATTAAAAATTGGCAACGCGAAGGATTATTGACTTTTGACTTTGAATCTGATACGAAACCTAAGTAACTTCATGTCCCATGTTTTATGAGCCAAAGTTGAACGGTGGGTTTATTTATGTTGAATGTTTGATCATTGATCTGGTTTGTTGAATCCTCCATTTCTAATGGGTGACAAGTCGAATATGTAAGCGTGATCGTGGATCGTGATAAGTCGGTGAGTATCATAGCGGATTCTTTGTTTTGCAAAACAAAACCATTAGACGGCAAAATCCTACTTAACACCCTCCCGCACATCCTCTTGTACATAAATTCCACTTTGGAGTGCATTTTCGTAAAATGGATCCAATCTTAATCCAACTATATTATTATTAGGCGAGCTTGTAAGCTTTAAAAAACTTGAATTCTTGACTTTCAAAAGTTGTTAAATGTTGCATTGATCAGCGTATAAATTTATTCATGTGATTTGTACGTTATAAATCATTTTACACAAGCAATGTCACATATATCTCTCATTTATTTCATGAGATTTGAAGCAATTGATACTTGAATCTTGATCTTATCAAGTTGATCATTTTTCTTATATTCAACCATTAATTCAAGTATTGAGAAGAATATAATAGTTTTGTGTACTCCACACTATTGCAAAAATTGACAAGAATTCAGGGTTCTTAGAAGCTTTAACTCATCCAACTTTTATCAGTGCGGGCAATCTAGACATATTCAGTCGCTGTGCTTTGCCACATCCTATTAAATTTTATTAAAACAATACATTTTCTTAATTCATTTGTACGCTTAGTTAGATTACCCGGTTTATTATTTCATTTATTTTAATCGTGCATACAATTTCTTGGTGCCCTGATGTATATAAGGAAATGTGTAGGTAGATACAATTCGTTGGCCGTTTATTCAATTTTCTATACTTATAACCATTCAATGGAAATGTGGTTACATTAACTCAAAACTGTATAAAATGTAGAACTTGATGTTAAAAAGTTCATTGTTAACATTCCTTTTTGATCAAACCCGTATGAATTAAGATCAAGCATTATACGCAGGACAAGTTTATTTATCATCAGTCTATTGTAGTCTTGTATTGCAATTGTGCTTAAATTTACAAACAGTTGATATCAAATGGATTGACTTGCAGGAAAGCAGCTTAATCGGCACTTAGGTCTGGTTTCTTAAAAGGAAATTGAGCTACACGTTGGCCATATAACTTGATAACTTTATTGCCCCAAGAAATCTGCGAATATGTAAATATATAGCTAGCAAACGACCCTAACCTACCTCTCAGGTTGCTGGACGCCAATGCAAATAAAATCCTTCTCATTATTACACAATTAACGTAATGGAATTCCCAGGTTTGTTTGTACAGCATTCCTGCTGTTATACGGTAGGAAGGTGATAAAATCTTGCTTTTATGACGAGCAAATACTTTGCAATCTTGGGAAATGATTTCATACTTATTCTCAACTTTAACCGGATTAATTTGCACGACTTGTAGATTTTCACTGACAAAATACCTTTGATTGACGGGTCATCAGATAATCAGCAAAAAATTAGCTAGTGTCAACATTCTAGAGTCACAAATCATTAAGGCAACCATGAAGTAGAGTCTGAGCAGTCTGGATATTTTTTTCACTTCCCTGTCCACGATTCTTTGACAGCCTTGTTTCCTATAACGAGAATATGGTTAAGAAACATCGTTCCTGTCAGTCTGCCTGTATGAACCGGCTCGTATGAGCACATAGATAAATTCATTCGATGCAGTGATATCACACTAACATCACTTTTGATGTACCCGAGAACTTGCAATAGGTATGTTTGCTAATTCCAATAAGTTGTCTCAAAATTTCGCATTGCATAATATATAACTAGAAATCTGTACCTTTGTCCTCGGTGAGAAATTGACACTTATTATCTAGATTTATCAATTTATTCATCTTTACAGGACGGCCTGACCATAAATGGAGTGCACATTTTTTAATTGACCAAAAGAAAAGTCTACATAAAGTTGTAATCAAACAAACATCGAAGCGTCAAAATGCAATGAGACCGAATTCCAATTACTCATCTATTAAAATAATATTTTCCCCATATATAAATATGCACTTTATGTTATTGCATGTTTAGTGAATTTTTACCCAAGTCGCTGGATTAAATAAATAAAAAGTCCCTCTCACTTTCATGCTGGAGGTCATCTGGACCAAAGAACCACCTTCGTGTCCACTCCTCTGTGAGATAAAGCAAGGTCTTTTATTTTATTTTTATAGATATTAACAAATGAAGAATGAGAACTGGAGGCAATCTGTGCTACTCTGAAGAGAAAAGAGAGACTGTTGGCATTTTAATTTAAGAAAAACTTTGTGGTAGCTCTTTTTTCTCATGATAGGCA